TGTTATATAATTTTTAATCCATTTTCAGTTGGGGCCTGCTAAGTACTTTATATGTAGTTGATACCGCGAGCCCCTCCATCCCCAAGACTATAACTACTCATACTTGTCTAAATCTTTTATTCTTAATCCAATCTCTAGATACTGTATTTTTTTCATCAATGGCTTCCCATCAAACTCAATCCAAGTTTGACACCCAGATTCCGGCTGAAATCCTTATCGGTCTCGTCATTCAAATCCATGATTGGATTTCCAAGCTCGAGTCTTTGAGGCCATCAAAGCAGGTGAATAGCCTCTTCACTCACCTCGTCAAACTATGCACCCTTCCTTCCAATATCGACATTAAGGCCTTACCCCAAGACGTGCAAAACATGCGTGACGATCTCATGCTTCTTTGCGGCCGTGCCGAAGGCTTGCTGGAGCTTGAATTCGCCACTTTTGTATCCAAAATTCCCCGTCCATTGAATAATCTTAATCTCTTCCCTTACTATGGCTACTACGTGGAAGTAGCCAGTTTGGAATATAGGATTCTTTGCGAGAACGGTGTGGTGCAACCGAAGAAGGTGGCATTCGTTGGCTCGGGTCCAATGCCTCTCACCTCCATTGTAATGGCTACCCATCACATGAAATCTTCACATTTCGACAACTTCGATATTGATGAAGCGGGCAACGATGTGGCTCGTAGGCTTGTTGCTTCGGATAAGGAGTTGAGAAGAGGATGAAGTTCGTGACGCGTGATATAATGGAGGTAAGGGAGAAGCTAGCGGAATATGACTGTATATTTTGGCGGCTTTGGCTGGGATGAGCAAAGACCAGAAACTAAAGATTATTGGGCACGTAAGGAAGTACATGAAGGCGGGAGGGCTTTTGCTTGTGAGGATGCCAATGGTGCGAGAGTATTTTTGTACCCCATTGTGGACGAGGTAGATTTCCCTGGTTTCGAAGTTCTTTCGGTTTTTCATCCCACAAATGAGGTGATCAACTCGGTTGTCCTCATGAGAAAACCCATTTTCTAAACCCAAGCTCTCTCCTTTGTCACAAAGGATCCATCTTCTATTTCAACAATTTCAGAATAATTAGGGTACGGTCGAGTTTGGACTATGTTTTTGATTTTCTAAATCTCTTGTTTCATGCTTCATGTGTGGTTTGATTTAATTTCATGTCTCAAGAATACTATGTTTGTTTTTGCGTACTTTTTTTTCCAATTTGTTAAAGGAATAGATATGTCAGTGTAATAGATAAAACTCAAGGTTAAAATATAAAAGTTTCATGCTACCACTAAACCAAAATCCTCATCGGCACCATCTACACATCGGCCGCCTTGATTTTTGCTAGCGGGGTGTGAGAAAGGGGCCATCAATGACTAAAATCTGATATATTATTATTCATGCAACTACATCATAATCAGTTTATATAGCAGCTATGACTTCAAGCTTATTCAATCTCTTAACTTCCTATAACAACATTCATAACATAATCCAAAACAATCATAACAACTCACACCAACTCACACCACATTCAATGCACACATTAGCAGTGCATGTTCTAGAATGCACTGCATATTCTAGAATGCATATTCCAATATTCTCTCTACTCTTTTCCTTCTTCTTGAGCAAATGAGAAAACGAACACTTGGATCGGAAGTGCCGATTCTTCCTTCCGTTCGACTTGAATCGGAAGTGCCGATGCTTCCTTCCGTTCGACTTGAATCAGAATTGCCGATGCTTCCTTCCGTTCGATTTGAATCGGAAGTGCCGATGCTTCCTTCCATTCGATTTGAATCGAAAGTGCCGATGCTTCATTCCGTTCGATTTGAATCGTCTGTGCACCTTGAAGGCTGAACGTGCTCGACACGCACATGAATCCTCATCCTGATACTCCTGTTTCCCACCTGCTTGTTGACTTCAACACCGATGACGCGTTTCGTGACATTCCAAACCCGACCAGTGCGGCCGTGGTAAAACTTATGGGGCATACCCTTATGAACGGCGCCATTTCCCTTGACGTCAACGTAGTCGCTGATCTTGTAAGTCTTGAGATAAGTGGACAAGGGAATGTAATCCTTCTTTCTGAAGGGTCTGGAGAATGAATCCTTTGTTCGAGAGCGGACACCATGACTGGCTGGCATTTCCATGAAGTAGAAGGAACCTCTTTCATCTAAAAGAAACTCAATAGTTCCTACACCAATGTAACCAATAGAAGCTGCATCAGCAACTGCTGCATCACCCATGGCCTTCCGTAACTCTGGTGTCAATGCTGGAGAAGGTGCCTCTTCTAGAAGTTTTTGATTCCGTCTCCGGATGTTGTAATCACGCTCACCCAAGTGAACAACATTACCATATTTATCTGCGAGAACCTGGAACTCAATATGCCTTGGATTCTGAATGTACTTCTCCAAATAAATTCCATCATTTCCAAATGCAGCACCAGCTTCACTTTGGCTTGTTGCCATAACTTCACAAACTCATGAGGTTCTTTAGCAAGCGCATCAGAGGAAAATAAGAGGGTTGCAGAAAATTGGTGCAGGAAGCAAAAGAAAGTGACAATCTAATGGAAGAAACAACAATAGTTGAACTGATTTAGATCTAAAAAAATGAAAATAACAGCAGCGGATGAAGAAAAACAAAGACGTCAGGATCTTTGGCGAATGATACCATGTGAGAAAGGGGCCATCAATGACTAAAATCTGATATATTATTATTATGCTTTTCATGCAACTACATCATAACCAGCTTATATAGCAGTTATGACTTCAAGCTTACTCAATCTCTTAAGTTCCTATAACAACATTCATAACAGAATCTAAAACAATCATAACAACTCACACCAACTCACACCACACTCAATGCACACATTAGCAGTGCATGTTCTAGAATGCACTGCATATTCTAGAATGCATATTCCAATACGGGGTAGATCAGGAAAAGAGGGGACTAGGAAATCGATAATATATATAATTTTATTTTATTAAAAACTTTCCCTTTTCTTTCTAAATTTTCATTACATGATTTTAGATCTCTTACAAAGTTGTGCGAAGTTTGGAAGTTTAGTTTCTTGCGGCAAAAGGAACTACAAACAAATAAAATTAATCCTAATTTTTAAAGAAAATGCGGATCATGAAAAACTTTCAGACATTCCAAGATCTTTTAGAACTTCAGTTTAACTATAACCTAAGTAACATCCAAGCAAGACTTATGTTTTTATTTCTTAAATCTCGACCATTGAAAAAACAAACTGCTCAAAGACAAGGAAAAAGAGAGAAATATCATACATATACCTTTATATTTGCAGTTTACGAGCACATCACAAAGATACCCAAGGCTTTCAAAATCAGCATCACAAGCAAGTGTTGGGTCTCTCCTTAATTGGAGAGATTCTAGAAAATTCTAGAGTTTTCTGGATAAGTTTAGAATTTTCTAAAATATTCTAGAGAACTCTAGAGAAGTGTAGAACTATCTAGAAGCTTGTGGAAGAGTGTGGAATCCTCTGGAATATTATGGAGATGTGTGGAACCTTATAGAAGAGTATGGAAGAATATGGAAGGGAGTGGAAGAGTGTAGAGTTTCTTAGAGTGTGTGGATCATTCTAGATAATTAATCTCCACCCTTGGATGTAAGTAATCTCCACCATTCATTGTGGAGGTGGAGTAGTATAAATAGGGGTGAGAGACTCCATTCCTAACCATCCAAGAAATTCAAACTAGAGAAACTAGAGAGTTAGAGAGCCTCTTTGAGAGAGAAAAGAGATAGCTTGGGAAGTCTTTATCCTCAAGCTTGAGTGAGCCAACAAGTGTGAGTCAAATTTTGTGAACAAATCCTTGTAATCCTACTATTCATTTGTATAGTGGAAGAATCTCCAAATTGGAGAATTATATTCTTGTGCTCTCGTCACTATCCTTAATCTCCAAGTGCCTAACTTAATTTCACGAAGCTGGAAAGACCGTGATTCTCAATAGCAAGAACTCTCAATTCCTTGACGGCGAGATCATCATCAATCTGAGATTCGATTGGTTTGTTAAGAAAATTCTCTTCCATGTTACACATCACAGAAGAATAAAGAAACTTTAATTCAAAAAATTAATCTTATGAAGACATTTGAACAAACTGCTTTACTAATAATAAGCTAAGGGGGAGATTTATATAGTTTTAGTGCATATGGGAGCTTAAAGGTGGTATGACAAAAGCGATACCATTAATTAATTAATTATTGAAGCCCGGTTGGCCTAGTTTTGGAAACAAAATCTACCGGCTCTTCCATGTTACGCATCACAGAAGAATAAAGAAACTTTAATTCAAAAAATTAATCTAATTAATTATTGAAGCCTGGTTGGCCTAATTTTGGAAACAAAATCTACCGGCTCTTCCATGTTACGCATCACAGAAGAATAAAGAAACTTTAATTCAAAAAATTAATCTTATGAAGACGTTTGAACAAACTGCTTTAATAATAATAAGCTAAGGGGGAGATTTATATAGTTTTAGTGCAGAGGGGAGCTTAAAGGCAGTATGACAAAAGCAATACCATTAATTAATTAATTAATTAATTATTGAAGCCTGGTTGGCCTAATTTTGGAAACAGAATCCACCGGCGATTTAATTATTTAACTTTTCAATTAAGATCTCTCCTTAAAAAATTGGGGTGACTAATGTTTACCTTATTTATTATTATAGAATTAATTATAGACATAAATCACACTTCACTTTAATTTCTTCATTTGAAATCAAAATAAAATCTATAGAATAAATTCTTCGTTTGTTGCAATATGAAATTAGTTCCCTATATAATTTTTTTGCTAAAACTTTATTGATATCAATTTGAATCAGAATTATTATCAAATAAATCAAAATAAATAATTATTTAAATTTAGAGTACAAAAATACACGGCACAAACCCATTATTTCAAAACTGTAGATAATAACAAACAAAGCTTAGAGGGGGAAAACACATCAAGAAGAGCAGTTATTTAAAAGAGGAAATACAGTGGTCATGTTTTGGGTGCAAAATAGTAGTAGTAAGATGCAATTTAAATGAAGATGGGTGATGGTTTTAGAATAGGTTGGAGAAGGCACATTCAGTGGGAAGGCCTTGGGGGAATCTCTTTGTGTCTGTGCAGTAATCATAGATCATGTAATTATCCCGCACCCATCTCATCTGTCCTTTCTTGGCAAAGTTAAGCTCTTCCCAAAACCAGACGTTTTTGTTTGGGCTGCAATGAGATGAACCATATGACCAAACACAGGCATCGGCCTTGAATTTCTTATAGGAAGCCTTAAAGGGGGCTTGACTCCAATCTGTCTTCTCAAGTCCACCTCTAGTTGCCCAGTCATCGGCATTCCAAAGCGTAGAGTACAACCGCATTTTTTTATTCTTGGGAAATGGAACACCCAGGAACTCTAGGTTCTTGAATTCTCTGATGGGGATGTTATCCACATAGAATCTGATGTACAGTAAACAAAGCTTAGAAAGTAATAGATTTTGCAGGAAAAATAAGATGATATGCATATGCATGTTTGCTTACACAATTCGCTGGGGGTTCCAAAGGATGGAATAAGTGTGGAAATCTGCAGTGGGGTCAAACCATAGGTAGAATTGTTGCTCTCTCTTGCCCTTGCCTTGGCTGAATACATTAGTATGGAGAATGTAAGGATGTCCGCTTAAGTTCCCCAAGAATTCAAAATCTATCTCATCCCAAGTTTCACCTTTCGAGGATAACTGTATGCATCATGATCGCAGACTTATCAAAATAATGTTCTTGCCACAATGGTTTAAGAGAAATGAAATTACCAACAAGTTGAAGACTTACATAATATGCGGTTACTGTGCCAGCAGAATTGCCAGGGACAAGCTTGAGTTGCATCTCGATCTTTCCAAATAGATATTCATCCTTGGATTGGAATCCAGAACCAGAGGTTTTGTCCAGAGACAAAGAAAGCAGCTCGCCACCTTCCTGAATCATGCCATGGCTGCCATGTCCCCAAACCACGTCGCAACTTTGGTAAAAGTTTCCGTCAGCAAAGGCAGCTACCAACAAACTCATGAGCAACAATAAAACCATCCCGGTCGATGGAGAACGAAATGCAGCCATTTTCTTGATCTGAATACTCGTTCTTGCTGATAATGGTTCAGAATGTTGCTGTTGTTGTTTGATTTTGATGGTTGATTTTGGCAAGTATTTATAGGGAATGAAGAGAGAGCAATGCATAGAGATGGCAGGCAGGCGAGGTCGTGTGGTACATTAGGTCAACTTGAATTCATATATAATATTATGAAAAAGAGTAGATGTGGCAGCAACTACTAAGGCATTGACAACAACAATATTATGAAATTACCAAACGCTGAGAAAGGGTCCGAGGAATCTAAACTTTCTTTAATTTTTTTATAACCAATTCAATCAAGGATTAATTCAAATTAAATATTAAAATAATTTATTAAAAATATTTATTTTTTATTCAAAATATTACAATCTAAACCTTACACATCGATCAAATCTAATAATATAAAGAGAACACAATTTATTGTTCTAATTTAAATTCAAATACAAGTTCTACTTTATATTTTAAGGTCAATAAAATGCCTCCAACTACTTGATGGTGAAATTGTCAGATTGGAGGCATTATAGATGTAGACGGAAACCATTTTCTATATTAATGTAAATGATTAATAATTTATAATTTTTATATGTTTTATATTTATATAATTTAATTTTGTAGTCATAAAGTCGTATTGGTTACTTGAACACAAATTAAAAAATATATAAAATTACAGACATAGTGGTTACTTGAAGGCGGTGTTGTCGTATTGGTTAGCCAACCTGGTGACAGTAATTGAGCAGCAATTAACCTGTTACAAATTTTGCATTCCAATAAAACCGCGTTATATCATCATGAACCGTAAGTGCTATATTTGTTATGATTTTGACACGGGGTTAGATTATCGGATAGTTGATATGTGTTGCCCTTAGATTCATCGTTTGGTTGTTCGGCATCTAAGTCAGCCTAAATTCCTCGGTTAATGATGTTATAACGTAATCACGATAGAAAATCATAAAAAAAAACATAAGTAAACTTGTGTGGGGAAATTTTTGGCACGAATGCCTTAATTTATTCACTCAAAACTCTCTATATCCAATAGAGATAGAGATACCTCCTTTTATAATGGAGTCCCCTTACATCTCTGATAACTCCGTAAAAATGTCACATTTTGGGATCTTTTCACTTAAGTTATTGGATGTCTAAGAGCTTATTTAGGACCACATAGATGCATTTAGGAGCATATAGTTGCATGTGGTGGAATTAGGTTTGCCGCGTCATTTTAATTTGTCATCAATGCTGCCTTATGGGGAAGATGTTTGCTTAATGATGTGCAGGATTTGAGAGCAAGGAAAAGAAAAAGGAAAATGATGTGGCATAAGGAGATTGTTGAGCAGAATGAAAATGTCGAGTTAGATTGGCATTTCGAGAGTGAACAAAATGAAAGAAGATATTTTTGGAGCCAACTGTCCCTATTTTCACGAGATCTTTGACCATGATCGAGAAATCCGCCTGAATCAGTGCTGTCTGTCGGGTGCTCAGTCAACTATCCAGGCAGGACCATTTCCAGCTCTGCTCGATCCTCAAGTGAATTAAGCATGATTTGGGGTATCTTTGGAATTTTAACACAAATCTTTAGGGTTTTTCTCCCCCTATAAATAGAGGATGAAGCCACAATGTTATGCACTTTGGTTCTGCGCCATTTTGAGTTTAAAAGTTAAAGAGAGAATGTCTTACTTTTCTTCGTCAATCCTACTTGTCGTGGCATTTATCTGTGACAAGCTTGAAGGAGTGGCGTTCTAAGTCATCCGAGAGGAGCTAATTCGCTGGGGGCAGTTCGTGGTGGCCAAGGGAAGCTCAGGCAGTGCACATCGAAGGCTTTTCCTCATTCCCTTAGTTCTTTGCTTTCATATTTTGTTATTGGGTTATAAGGAACGAATGAAACTTGACTTATGCTTGTTTATTTCGAACCCTACCATGAACTAATCCTATTTAGTGGGAGTTCGCTTGGATGTTTAAGTTTTTATTTCAATGAATGATTGCTTTTCTATGCTTTAATCTGTTTTGTTTATGAAACTTAATGCCTTAAGGTTGTAGGAGATACGAGAGTAGCCTTTCCTTAGGAGGTTCTTAGGGTTCGAGAGAATACATTGACAAAATATCCTTAGTATTAGAAAGAAACTAGGGAGGAACTATATAAACAAAGGGTTCTAGGTAGTAACTAGGCCTAATCCACCTTAGAGATAATGTTAGGATTTCATTCGACTAAAAGGAGTTGTGCAAGAACGATAGGTTAAATGTTAATGATGCCGCAAAAAGGTATTGCCGAGACATATCCTGTTATCTGGACCAATAGGATCACTGCAGGGGTTTACGCCAATCGGTTTTGCCAGGGCATCTTGAATCTGTCAAGTCCCTTACTAGAGATAGCATAGGGTACCTTAGTATTCTCTGTCGGGCAGGAGAGGCATAGAGATAAAATCATTCGGAGAAGTAGACTTATATTTTCCTTAGTGACTCCCATCACTCATTCTCAAAGCAGCTTGTCGTGTGAGAAAGCTAAAGTCCTATATTTTAAATCTCATATTTACATTTTATTTTGCCTTGACATTTCAATTTGTTCGCACGCATCAAAATATAATTTGTCACGACATATCAATTTGCTACCACACTACTACCATTCTATTTTCACATCAGACATTCCATTTTGCCACAACATTCTCATTTGTACATACCATCACTAACTTTAATTAGGTGACAAAGTAAAGTGCCTTGACAAACTTATTTGATTTCCTCAATTCCCTGTGGAGACGATACTCAACTTATCACTGTATTACTTGTTCGATTGTGTATACTTGCACATATTTTCGTACCCATATATAGTACTCACAAACAACGGACAATTTTTATTTTACTTGTGTATATTTCTTTTATATAGTTTGACCTTTTTATTTTTCCTATATTTTTCAGTTTTTTCTCAATATATGACCAGAAGTAATCCTGACGAGCCAATAGAACAGATTGAACCTGAGATCGAAAGACTTTTTAGGAGTAGAAGGCGTGCTCAACATGCAAATATGTACCAACTCGGAAATCAAGGTATTGGTCATGAGGAAGATCAGAATGTCGGGGCAAATCTAAATGTTGGGAATGCAGTCAGACCTCGTGTAATTCGTGATCACTTAAACCCGATCCTATAAGACTTAAATCCTGGAATTGTGGCACCAGAAATTCAGGCAGCCCACTTCGAGCTCAAACCTGTCATGTTTAATATGTTGAACTCCATAGGGTAATTTGGGGGCATGCCAAATGAAGATGCCAGGTAGCACATTCGTAACTTCTTGGAGGTGTGCGATTCCTTTCGCTAACAACGAGTGAACGAAGATGTTTTGAAACTAAAGTTATTTTCTTATTCTCTGCGTGATCGAGTAAGGGCTTGGTTGAGTGGCGTTCCAGCGGGTTCAATGGAGTCATGGAATGTTCTTTGCAAAAAAAATTTGTTGCAGTATAATCCTCCGAACATGAACACCCAACTGAGGAACGACATAACTTCTTTTCGTCAAGCTAATGACGAATCAATGTATGAGTGTTGGGATCGATACAAAGCATTGCTTCGCAAATGTTCAAATCATGGTTTTGAAGATTGGACGCAAGTGGTAATGTTCTATAATGGAGTAAATACACCCACAAGGATGATGCTAGATGCCTCAGCAAATGGGACGTTACTCGACAAATCATCAGTAGAAACATTTGACATTCTGGATAGGATTGCCACCACCAATTATCAGTTCCCATCCACAAGGCTTGGACTTGGGAGCAAATCACATGGAGCTTTCGAGCTAGACTCTAAGGATAACGTGTCTGCCCAACTTGCTGTTATCACCAACATGTTGAAGAATATGCAAAGGCCAAGTAAGGTGAGAGAAGTGAAGGCAACCCATTCAGCATGTTTATTATGCCACGTCAATTACAATGAGAGTGACTGCCCAACCAATCAAGAATCCATCAATTATATAGGCAACTTCAACCGAGGAAACAACAACCCTTATTCTAACACATATAATCATGGATGGCGTCAACATCCAAACTTTTCGTAGGGAAACCAAGGAACCAACAATGCTCATCAACCAGTTCGGCAACAGAATTTCAATGACTCCCAAAGTCTTCAATCGAATATGCCATGGCATAATTCTAACAAGGGAGGGTTATCTTCATCCAACACCAGTTCTTTGGAAGCCACAGTGCAAGAGTTCATAGCAACAACGAAGACAATGCTGCAAGACCATGTAACCTCCATAAAAAACCAAGGGGCTCTGCTTTAGAGCCACAGTTCGTCGCTGAGGGCATTGGAGAACCAGGTTGGTCAAATTACCACGGCATTACAAGAACGACGACCAAGACATCTGCTGAGTGACACTGAAGTCACAAAACCTCATGGCAAAGAGCATTGTAGTGTGCTAACTCTACGAAGTGGTACACAAATTAATATCGAAGACAAGTTTGGAGGAAGATCGAAGGATAATTCACCCCCTGAGATTGTACAAGCTAACCAAGAAGTGCTAGAAGAAGCACCATATAAAGAGGATAAGGATGATAATTCATCAAGTAAAGTGACTGAAGCTATACCCCCACCTCCTTTTCCGCAAAGACTGAAAAACATAATGAGGATATTCAATTTAGAAAGTTTATTGACATTCTGAGTCAACTTCAAATCAATGTTCCTTTTCTGGAGGCTATGGAACAAATGCCTACATATGCTAAGTTCTTCAATGAGATTGTGACCAATAAAAGAAAGGCTGAGCAATACGAGATAATTGATACGGTAAAAGAATTTTTCTTATCCTTAAGCAAGCTGCCACCGAAGAGACATGATCCGGATAGTTTTATTATCCCATGTTCGATATGAGATAAATTTGTTAGGAAGACACTATGTGACCTTGGCTCAAGTGTGAACTTGATGCCTAAGTCAATTTTCGTAAAACTTGGGATAGGAAATGCGAGACCCACATTCATCATCTTGCAATTAGCTGATCGTTCACATGTGCATCATGAAGTGCGA